CAGGCTTTCTGGGTGTGCTAGGCGGCAGTATGTCCTTGTCCTGTTGGAGGCAGGAATCCTGCCTGGCAGCTGCCAAGGGTCTTCCTGGTACCAGTTCCCAGAGCTGGTTTGGTACTCCACTCTGCTCAGGCTCCAAGCCAAGCGGTAGGCTGTGTGTCTTGCTTCCTTTGGGGACCCTCCCTCCTGGGAACAGACGAGCTACCCAGCTGGTCAGAGCAATTCAGCTCCTTGGCAGCTATATATATTTGAATGTAAATAACTACATTTGCTTTTTCTTTTCAGGGATGTCCTTGTCACAGTTGAGTTAGCATAAATCAGTTTCACAGGCAGGGTCACCTAATGATATATACATATTTTTTTTAGTAGTGGTACTAGGGATTAAACTCAGGGGTGCTTACCTCTGTGCTACATCCCCTGCCCATTCTATTTTTCATTTTGAGATAGGTCCTTACTAAGTTGCTGAGGTTGGTCTTGAACTTGCAATCCTCCTTCCTCAGCCTCCCAAGTTGCTGGGACTTCAGGTGTGCGCCATCATACTGGGCTAATAAATGAATATCGAAGTTTCTGAATTACTGTATGACACGGAGGACCCAGGCCATAGGAAGCAGGTAAAGCAGTTTTCATCGACTGAGCCCACCAGCCTGGGCAGGTGCAGCAAACAGCTGGTCTGACCCAAGAGCTGTGTCTGGGAGGGGTGACTCCCGCAAAGGCCAGGATCGGGGCACAGAGGCTGCCTTGAGCAGCTCTCCCGGCTGCAGGGGAGCCAGGGAGGCCTTGTATGCCACAGGCCCAGCATCCCACAGAGCAGAGGGGTTACTCACTGCTGACTCACAGCCAGGTGCTCATTTGCATGCTGTTCATTTGAAGCCCAAAGGGATAGGAACATCAGAAGGATCACTGCTTCCCCTTTCCAAACAGAGCCACCCCTGATCTTTAGAGGGCTCTCTGCTGTTGCACTGAGTCTCTGAGGAGACCTAGAAATATTTCCATGGTGGATGGCTCCGCTCAGCCCTGTCCACATGGTTGGCGGGCTGTGTGTCATTAAACTGAAAAAAAAAAAAAGAGGAAAAGATCCAAGAAGTTAATTTGCTATATTGGAAGTTTACTCTCCTCCTCTTCCCCTTCATCAGCATGTTTCTTTCTTTGGGGGGAGGGGGAGGGTGCGCTGAGGATTGAACCCAGGAGTGCTCCACCACTGGGCTGTATCCCCAGTCCTTTTATTTATTTATTTATTTTTCATTTTGAGATAAGGTTTTGCTAAATTGCTAAGGCTGGCCTCAAACTTCCCATCCTCCTGCCTCAGCCTCCCAAGCAGCTGGGATTAGAAACGTGCACCACCGCACCAGGCACTATCACTTTTCTTTTTTGAACCCAGGGCCGCGAGCATGCTAACCAAGTGCTTGACCATTAAGCTACATCCCCAGTCCACCTTGTTTCTTAAAGAAATAGTTTCCATTCCCCTAAAATAAAAACCAGCATCAGCCCCAGACGCTCCCCCTAAGGATCCTTGGTGGGGTCACTGATGATCTGTTGTTCCCTATCGAATGTGTGCTTTTCCAGGCGTCTTAAATTCCACATCCCTTGTCACTGCGATGCCCCCTCGCGTTTGAAACATTTTGCTCTCTTTGGATGTTATCCTGACACTCCTCTTCTGGTTCTCCTGCCACCTCTTGACCCCTCTTTGCTACATAATCTCCATTTCACCACCTCTGCACAAACTCCCCGAGATCTGTCCATCATCTGTGACTAGCACACCATCTCTCTACCAGGAGTACCTGCCTCTCTTTTGAGCCGTAGACCCACAGTTACAATTATTTGCCCTTCATCTCTACCTAGACATCTTTTAAAACACCTCAAAGTAAAAAAAAGGGGGGGGGCTCTCTCTTTTTTTTTTTTTGCCCTTACTTACAATCTCATTTGTAGCTTCTACCAGTGAAGACTCCACAGCCATCCACTCAGCCACTCAACTAGAAATCTCACCATCAAGTCATGTCAATTCTATCTTCCAAATAAACCCCAAACCTACCCCACTCACTCTGTCCCACCTGCCATTACCTTGTTTGAGACACCATTGCTTCTCCCAAGGACAGTGGGAACAGCCACCTAAATGGTCCCATGCTCTCCTGTTTTGCCCTAACCCAGTGTGACCTCCCCCATGTGACCTCCCACCTGATCTTTCTAAAATGCAAATCTGATTACTTTGTTCCATTCCTAAACCCTTCAGTGGCTTCCCACTGCCCAGAGTCAAGTCTGAATTGGGGCATAGCCCACAAGGTACTGGAGCCAGCTCTTGAGGTACTGGAGCCGGCCCAGTGCTCCAGCCTCAGCGCCCTCAGCCAGGCCCATGCTCCAGCCCTTGGCCCACTGAACTAGGGGGACATGCTAGTGCCTGCAGCCATACATCTCCTGTGGCCAGTCAGCTGTCCTCTGTGAAGCTCTTGTGGGTGTCCCCTCCTGGTTCTCACAATACCTTTGTCCTAGTGATGGAGAAGTGTTTGCTTTCTGTCTGCTCCTGTGAGAGACAGCGAGTTCCTTGTGTCTAGAGTCATATCTTACTCATCTGGCTCTTCCCAGGACATCACCGAGGGCCAGGCACGTAGGTGGCGTTCCCTAGGCGCAGTGCACACAGAAGCCATTTCCTGGGAGAATCAATGTCTAGTGGGCTGTTTTCCTTTCCCCATGGGCTTCTGAGCACTTGGTGGGCTGGGACCGTCTCTTTCTTCTTCATCTGCCATACTGAGATAGTTGGTGTTCAGCAGATATTATTTAATGTGAATTCGGGTCTTGAACCTTCTTCCACAAACCCCTCCCAATGCAGAGGGACAAAGGTCTCTAGCAGAGCACCTCCACTTGGGAACAGTCTCCTTTCAGCTTCACTTTCCCTGATACTGACCTCCATGTCACCCTGCCCTTCCCATTCTCTCTCTGCTGAACTAGAAGGAACTCTGAGGACAGAAAACAGGTCTCATAGAACAAGCTCAAGGTCCACCCTGGCTAAAAATAGAGACACCTCAGAGCCCAGCAAGACCGGCTCTGGGTGCTTTTCACTTTTTAGGTTTTATTTTAAGTGGACACATATTGTACATATTTATGGAGTACAGTGTGATGTTTTCATACACGTATACGTCGTGCAACGATCAAATCGGGGGAATGAGTCTATTCATCATCTTGATTATCATTTCTTCATGATGAGAACATTCAGGTCCTCTCTAGTAGCTGCTTTGAAATACCCAGGACATCCCTGGTAGCTATAGTCACCCTACGACTTATCACTCTTATCAGAGCAGCGACCACATTTCTGGAATCAAAACAAGGAGACATAGTTACCGACAACTTTGAAGTGATAAGAAACGGTTCCTACTCGCAGAACATGTCATTTGCCATCTGCTTAGAGGTCTTCCCCATTATCTCACTTGGTCCCCAGCCACCCCGGGCACATCCCCTTGTGCGCTTGAAGATCAGGCTGCACAGAGAGGGTGGAGTTGGAACCAGAGCCTCCCCTTCTGCAAACCATCAGGCCACGTCCAGGGACACCAGATAGTCTGTGACGTGTGTGTGGGGTCCTGAAATAGTATCATTTATGACATCTCAATGAATCCTGTGAACAATGGGAGAGAATATTAAAATTGTGACTTTCTGAATTTCGGAAGCCATTGTCTTGGAATAGGATGGCTAGATGTTGGGGACAGGAGTGTGGCCTCCAGCTGCAGTCATAGAGCTATCCTGCTCCCCTTTATAACCTCGTTGGACGTCAGGGCTTGACACCTCCCATTTGGCACAAGGAAGTCCAGTTCTGTTCCCAGGTGCCAGAAGTGTATATTTACCCAGATCATATATTTAGACCCTATTAATGTCTAGACAAGACCAATATGTAATGTATGATCACATGTGCTATATTTAGGGGTGTTGGATTTATAGATGTAATTGGAGTTTATCAGTTTTTCAGATTTTTTAAATTTTAAAATTACCACAGAATTAGAGAAAATTTGGACATTCAGTGCAAAGAATTATATTTTTCCCGATCCTTCTGGGGGAGTAAGTTGCCCATCTGAGACCCCATCTATAAATACTTCAGTATAATTCCTAAAGATAAAAACAGTCTCCTGTGTAACCACAACACAGCCATCAAAATTGGGAAATTAAACAGATATCTTATTTGACACTCCGTGCTCAGACCACCTTCAAGTTTCAACGGTTGTCCTGAGAATGTCCTTTGCAACAAAAGAATTCTGTTCAGAATTACTTGCGTTTCGTTATCTCTTTTCTCTCCTTCTGTCTGAACAGTTCCCTCTTTCCCTGACTGTCAGGATATTGGCACTTTTGAAGTTAGAAGCCAGTTATTTTGCATAATGCCCCCTCAATCTGATATTTCTTCAGGATTAATTCAAGTTATCTGTCCAGGGCCAGAATCACAGAAGCGACACCACCTTCTCATTGTGTCCCATAGATGCAGCACAGTCTCATCTGTCCAACGAAGGTGGTGTGTGCCCAGCACCCTGACTGTAAAGGCAATTTCCCCTGCAGAAGTATTCTCTGGAGAGGTCCTTTGTACCTCCCTTTCCTCCTCTTATCCTGAATTTACTCGTTTATTTTCTTGTATCAGTATGGACTTGTGGTTTCCTGTTTTATTCGAAGGGTTACAATCCACGGTTACTATTCGTTTTAATGACAGCTCTTCTCTGGCATTCCCTCTTCCCTGTCCTTCAGGGCTTGACACCTTGACTGTCCAGTGGGCACTCACTCAAGCAGTGTTTGGTGACCTTTCCTCAGTTAATCCTTGTACAACCTTTTGGCACAAGGTGCTTCAGGCTCTCCCCACCCCAGACCTGGAGCTGAGGGTCCCTGCAAGGAGCCCAGGTTCTTTTCAGTGGAAAGCAGTATTTCAAAGCCCAGGTCTGGTGGCAGCTTTGCTCTTTCTGTTGGAACATCCCAGAAGGGCTCCTAGGCCTGCCCAGCAGACCCAGGTAATGATCCCTATATAATGCACCACATCTGAGCTGAAAATATCATACGTTGAAATGCATTTTAACACTCCAAACCTGTTGAATGCCATGCTTAGTAGCACAGCACGCTGCGGAATATGGGTGAGTTCCCCTGGCGATCGCATGGGTGACCGAGAGCTGTGGCTCGCCACTGCTGCCCAGCATCAGAAATGTTATACCACATGCCACCAGCCCAGGGGAAGACCCAAACTCAAACTCTGAAGTGTTGTGTCTATTGAACACCATTGTCAAAGTCAAAAAAGTAGAAGTCGAACCATCTTAAGTTGGGGACCATCTGTATTTACCCATTTGCTCAACACTCTGAGCATATATGTCTTATCTCTGCTGTCCGCAGCTGTTCTGCATGGTGGTATTTGGGTGCAAACACCCATCCCCAGGCTGCCGCTCCACTGGGTCACCCTCCCTACCCTGCTGGGGTCTCCGACACCCTGGCTGGGTTGCCCAGTGCATGGATGGCCTGCGCTCCCTGCTTATCCATGCTCTGCTGCCATCAAACGGAGGCCTCTTCCCCCTCCTGGGCCGATTCCCTCCAGTCATGCTGTTTGAGCACTGCATCGGGGCAGGCCACCCACCCCTCCCCCATAGGTCCCCAGCTTGCTCTGCCCCACTAACCACGGATGACTTTAGCACTAAACTGTTCAAGAAGGGAACAAGGCTGGGAAGAGCAATTTTCTTGTGGATTTTTTTTTTTCTGTTATGTTAGTACTACAAAATGACTTGGAAATATTATAAAGAAGTATAAAGGGGCAAGGAATCAAAACTCTCTATTAATTCTTCTACCATTATTGGGGCTGGCATGGTAGCTCAGTGGTAGAGCGCTCGCCTGGCACACGTGAGGCCCTGGGTTTGGTCCTTGGCACCACATAAAAATAAATAAATAAAATAAAGTACTGTGGCCATCTGCAACTGAAAAAAAAAAAAAAAAAGAAGGAAACCATTATCCTTTTCCCTCCAAAAGTTTCAAGCAAGCAGACAAAACAAATAAAGAAACAAAGAACTCGTGTCTTTTGAAAAAGGAATACAGGCCCGTGGTTGAAAAATCAAGAAGCAAGGCTCCCTCCCACCTGGGCCCCTCTGCACCTGCCACAACTGGTATCTGTGTCTCGTGGACCCTTCCAGCTATTTTTTTGTGCATATGCAGCCTGTGAGGGTTCCGTTTCTCAACCCAGTTGGACCTTTACCTTGCTGATATGTTTACCTATGAGTCTTTTCACTTGCACGTACTGAACAAAATATATACTTTAAAAAAATGTTCCTTATACTTGGGTTCTTCCAAAGTATCATTGTAAGTGGCTGCATGATTTTCCATCACTGAATTCGTGTCTCCTTTGGATGATCTCCTGTTGTTGGAGGACTGCCATGTTGATCAGCTCTGGCCTTCCTGTGCCAGGGAAGTCACAAAGCCAGCTTGGCTTGGAGAAGCAGTTCAGCCATCTTCCATGGCTGGTAATAGACTATTGAGTTGAAACAACAGAGATTTGTTTTTCGCACTAAGAGGCGTTTGGAAGGTGGGTGGTTAAATCCAAGCTTTGAGCAAGACTCCACAATGCAAAATTCTGAAGTGAAGTCATCAAAGGTAGGATGTCCAGAGGGTGACTGACACCTCCCCCGGGGTCCTTGAACCCCTCACCCTCTTCAAGGGGGCCATGAGGAGGCTTAGTGACAGAGCATTTGCCCAGCATGTACCAGGCCCTGAGTTCCATGCCCAGTACCTCAAAAATAAAATAAAACGAAAAGAGCATAAAAGGACGGGGGGGCGGGGAGGGGAGAGAAAGCAATTCTTGAGTTTCTTTCTCTCTGTGGATTTCTGCTGAGATGACAGGGATGGGGTCCTGCAGGGATGGGGTCCTGCCGCCCTCACCATGAGGTCGGGGTGAGATGAGCCAGGAGGAAAATGAAAAAGCCAGAGCCTGTGTGGCCGCCAAGCAGAGGGACCGAGGAGGCCTGTGCTGGGGACAGTCTCAAGGATGCTGCATGTGTCCTGCTGGGCTGACACGGGCCACACAGGAGAGAGGCTGTGTGGGGTGAGTTGGATCATGCCCAGTGGGGTGGGGTGGAGCTGAAGGAAGGGGAAGTCCAGCAGGAGGGAGTTGGAGGTGGACACAACACGCTGTCCTCCCTGCAGGTCCAGGAGCCGCCGGGAGGATCCCCTGGGTGGCCATCTCCCAAGAACCCGCAGAAGCACTCCACGTCAGCTCCCATCTTCTGGGCCCAGAGCACCAGTGCCCATGAATGGCAGTCCCCACGCAAGAACGACCCTGCCCTCCACTTTGACATTGGCCATCCCCACGTCCTGCACCCAGCAGGCTGGTAGGGAAAAGAGTTGGGTGCAAGAATGGAAAAAGGAGAAGCAGGAGGCAGAAGAGAGGAGAAGGGAGCCGAAGGTCCTTCCTACTTCAGGCCTCGGGCCTGACGCAGGGCTCGGGGTGATGGAAAAATCTGTTCAGGGTTTTTATTTGTCTTTGTTTTTATTTTTATTTTTTTCTTTTGGAAGTAGCTTCAGACTGTCTGTTACCTAGGGTGTGGACAAAGCCATGGACCAGGCAGAGCTGTCATCTGGAAGTAGGGGGAAGAGCATGCCCTGAGTCACTCCCAGGGACCATGGGAACAACAGGAAAGTTCGTTGTTCTCACCTCTCATGAGTGATGTGCTCATCATACCACTTTCAAATAAAGTAAATGTGACTTCGCAACAGGGATTTGTTTTCCTTCCTTAAAAAAAGAAGTTGGGAGGTGTGTAGTTGCGGGGCTGGTTCATCAGCTCAGTGAGTGCCAAGGACCAAGTTCATCCATCCTTTCCCTTGCTGACCTCCGTGCACCAATGTCTCTCCTCTTGGTCACAAGATGGCTGCCCCAGATACAGGCATCACATCCTCACACATAAAAACAGGGAGTTGCAGGCTCTCCTCATTCCATGCCTTTTAGAGAGAGAAAAATCTGTTCTGGAAGGCCTCCTATGACCAACCTATGACCTATAGACCAGAACTGGGTCACATAACCACCCCTCCCAACATGTTTCCTGAATGTTTCCACTTCCTTATTGCCTTAGACTTTTCAAACTGTGATAATCTAGAATAGTGTCTCCCACCCAATGAGGTCATCGATTACCTAATTGTCCAAACTGGTGCATGGATTTCACAGCCCTGGAATTACTCGATTTCTAGATCAGTCATTATCACAGACCTCTTCCTGCTCTTTGACATTTTGTTCCCCCTTTTGGTATTAGCAGAGCTCTGTGGCTCACTTATCTCTATTCCATCTTATTTATTTATTTTTTTAAAATTTTTGTGGTATGGGGGATTGAAGCCAGGGGTACTTTACCATTCCTTTTAATTTTTATTTTATTTTAAAAATTTGAAACAGGGTCTGAGTTGTGATCCTGCTGCCTCAGCCTCCTGAGTTGCTGGGATTGCTGATATGCACCACTGCATTTGGCCTCTCCTCCTCCTTTCTTCACACTCTCCATGCATTCAGCTGTCCCAGGGTGACAAATACTACCACAATTTGATAGTTCTTTAGCTTTAAGCTATACGTTCATATTTTTTAAAATTCCTTTATTATATCTGTATATCGATATCCCAGAGCACCTCAGACTAAAACATCTAGGTCATTGTTTTCCCCTTTTGCCAAATCTGTTCTTTCTGTATTTTATTTCCATGAAAGGTAGCACCCCACCACCTACCTACCTAGTCAGCCACCCTGGAACATCAGAGCCCCCGCCCTCGTCATTGTCACTATTCAGTTTTGTCGATTCCACCTTCCAAATATGGCTTAGAATTTTTATCTTTCCATCTCAACTGGAAATACATTGGTCCAGATTCAGTTTTTTTCCCAGGACGATAGTAACAGTGACTTACCTATTCCCCCTTTCCCTTTCTCCCTGCCTTGTATGAGGATAGAATGCCTGGAACAGTGGCAGCCACCTTGTAACCACAAGGTAACTAGAGTAAGAGCCAAAAGCCAAAGTGCTAAGGATGGCAGCAGGAAGGTGGACGAAAGCTGCCTCTCTGTCAGCCCCGTGGAGCGGTGGAATCGGTGCCAGGAATTGTATCATAAAGCACTCCTCATCCAGGCAGGGAGCAGCCGCTTGATGACATGTTGACACAGTGATTTTTGAAGCAGCTGTTTCAGTGTCGGGGTCACTTTTTGATGGATGGGAGGGGGAAACCCAAGTGACTAAAAGGTTCTTTCATTGTGGTTTCTAAGGAATGTGTTCAACAGAAATCATATAAGCCCTGGCTTGTCTCTTTCGCTGGGCACTACTTTTAATTTTTAACATGAAGCTGCATTTTGAGAGATTTTGTGGTGGGCGTTTTAGAATGTCATGGTGGGTGAGTGTTCAGTAAGTCCCTTGAGCCTGAGAATGGGTGGGTGGTGAGGGGGAGAACCCAGAGTGGCTGGAGAGTAGAGGGGGGCAAGATATGTAGCCCGTCAGGCTCTAGAAAGGTGGGAGCCCCTCTTTCCAAAATGGAGGTGCCCCTTGAACTGGGGTGTCCTTGGCCTCTTTCTCATCCAGCCTCTGCTTTCAGGACTATGTTGGTGACATGCTTTCAGCTCCACGTCATACAGGGAGCAGAGCATCTCCTGCCACTGAGGTCCCCAGTCCGTCTGGAGGTATGGGACAAGTGACCTGGTTGGAAGCAGGGCTGGGGACTTGTCTGGAGGTCGTACTGTGGGCTGCTTAGGGGAACCGTCAGGTAGAGTCCCTATGGTACCACCCACAGAGAGGCAGGAAGAGGATTTCAGAGCAGCGGGAGACTAGGGGTCCTGGAGCTGATGGGGGTCAAGGCAGAGCAGAGGCCCCTTTGGAAGCATCCACATGCCCATCGGGAAGTGCTGGTGGCCTCGGGCACTTGCTGCTGATCCCGTGGCATCCTAGCACGTTTGCACACCCTCGAGATTGGCAATGGAGAATGCAGCTTATATCGCCAAGAACGAAGCCCTGGGACCAGTCCCCTAGAATCTTCCAGAGCAGCATCACTGGACCCCACAGAGAATGGTCCTCTGCCTCCCCTCCACTCTTCCCCAAACTGCCCCAGACATGGCTCTTCTGATGGCAAAGCCTGGACAGGCTTTACGAGACCTTACTAATTATGGCTGGTTAGTTATTTCTCAACAGAGGGTTTTCAGTCTCAGAGCTGAAGAGCTGCCCTTGAACAGACAGTGTTCCATGGTTATTGGCCACTGAGAAATGGCATCTTTTGCTCCTGTCATCTCTTCTCATGGGGCTCCTTCCCCGCCTCAGGGAAGGGTGTTAGAGGAGAGGGCACTTCCCCCACGAGCGTGGCCTGAATCCACAGAGCCTTCCTGGCCTTGGCCCGTGGCCACCCAGCCTTGGCCATTTCTGGGGAGCCTGCGGGCTCCTTGGGTGTGGGGCTCCTCATTGCTGAGGTTAGAGCAGCCTCTAGGGGTTGCCATGGGTTACTGAGGGCCTGGTTCCGCATCTGGATCTGTGAAGCCAGAGCTCTCTCGCGGTCCTCCAGGTGGCTCTGGGGTTCCTGGGCCGGAGCTGGACCTGCTCAGGGAACGGGGTGAGGAAGGATACCCGCTTGAACCTGTGGACGGTCAGCTTGCCCAGCCCACCGAGAATCACTCCCCTTCCAAGCTGCACACGCGCACGCCCAGCCCCTGCTCTGAGTGGGGAGCACATTCAGGTCACCACCCAGCTCTTCCCACGTCCCAACTGCCTTAAGCAGACCAGGGAGGCCCTGGAGCTCCATTGCTGAGGGGCCTTAACT